ATCTTCTAAATTTGATTCCAAAGTTTCATTTTCAAAAATGGTGATTGGAAGTCTCGCTTCTCTTCCATAAGTCAAATGTGTACTTGGTAGTAGAATTTTTTGCAGTTTGATAAGCAAATAATACTGAATTTATAACAGTATCTCATTCTTGTAAATCTTTTGTTATCTTTGTGATAGATTCACACAAGGTTTTATTAAATCTCTCAACTAATCCATTAATTTGAAGATGATAGGATGTAGATAATAAATGCTTAATTTCAAACTTATTCATTAATCTGTCTACTATTTTATTTCGAAAATGTGATTCTCGATCAGAAAGTATATATGGGTTAGTACGTACGAAAATCATGCTGCAGGACTATACAAATTATATGATCAAAACCCGATTTTTGTACATACTGACCCATATTTTGGACATCCATGTCAACATATTATATTTTCATAAATAAATTCTACAATTATGTTTGCATCAGCTGCAGGTTTTGTACTTGCTTCAGGCCATTTGGTTAAATAATCAGTTGCTACGATTATGTATTTGTTTCCATTATTTGTAATTGGTAAAGGTCCTACGAAATCTATTCTGATTTTCTCAAAAGGTTTTCTAACTGATATAGGATGTAATAACGTTTTCTTTGAAGGCTTCCCTCTTCTTTGACAAGAATTATATCCTTTAATATAGTTTCTAATGTCTTTGAACATTTGCGACCAATAATAGTTTTCTCTAATTTTTTCAAAGATCTTTTCAATTCCTAAGTGTCCTCCAGTTTGGATGATTGTGTGTCACATAAAGAACTGTTTCTATTTCATGAATTTTCAGAACTTTAAGAAAGTTCCCTTTGTTTTTCTTATCTTTCTTAAACAATTGATTTTCTAAAATAACAAAATGTTTTAATTGTCGTTGAATCTGATTTGCTAATTTTTTATCATTTGGTAATATCGAAATAATTAAATATTTTTTCAACTAATGATATCGATTTTCTTTCATTTTGTTTATCTTAAGCTGTCAATCATGTTGTTGACACTTTTGCTTTCACTTAGTTAAAATTTTTAAACGTTGAGACTTTCACTCACTAATTGCTATTCAAATAGGTGTTAACTTTTTAAAAATAAAAATAAAATATAAAAATAAAATATGTAAATAATATTGAAATTGACTATTTTAAAACTAAATAAATGTTAAAAATAAATAATAAAACTAATAATCTGGGATGCTAATTCTGCTACAAGTTTCATCAAAGTTGAATGAGTAAATAGGGATAATAATAGATGCGACCAGTTCAAACATTTTCTCTAATTCATCCTCAGTCTAATCACGTGTTTGAAGATTCTTAATTGGTTTTAACAATTCAACTGCTGCAAGTCGTGCCTCATCATCTTGTTGTACCTTTTTGGGTATATCCCAAAATACTTCATTAATCAGAGTTTCGGACACCATTTCAGGATGTATTTGTCCAAGATTATAATTAACAATACATTCATAATCTAATTCAGTGGTAATAATTGTTCCACAAAGGTTACAATTTACAGAATACTCTTGAGCAAATTCTTCAAGTTTGTTACCATTCATTCGTTTGATGATAGTTTGCCTAAATTCAGCAGCTTTCAAAAAAATATTATGCAAGTCCTGTCTCCAATCTTGTCCTCTTTCATCAAGAATTGATTCCATTTCTTCTTCACTGAAGTTAAATTCTGATCTACTATTATCTTCTAATTGTTCAGGTGATTGTTCATTTTCTGCTTCCTCTTCATAAGCTGTCATATTTAAATATTCGTAATATTCATGTTCATTACAATTACAAATAGTTTGTTCTATTGGTGAGGATATATAGTTTCCATATGGATTAGCACATTGATAGCATTCAGTGCAATACCAATGAGAATGATGGTCATTTTCATTGCAACTGTAGCTGCTTTTTCGATACTTTTTGTTATTATGCAATCCATTCCATTGCCATTTCGTTTGGCATCCAGAAACATCTAATGCAGAAAAATGTACTTGGATCCATCGATTATTTTCTTCTAAATCTTCTTTATATTCAGGTGATGAAATATTCCCATGGATTTCTCTCTCTGTATCTGCAAAATTTTCTTCACTAGCAATTGAGAGTGTGAAGCATTCAATTACTTCATCTGAGCTTTCATCATTTTCATAGTTGATTCTTGATAATGCGTCAGCGTTTGCATTATTTTTTCCAGA